AACGTCCGGTGTTGCCTGGGAGCCAGCACCATGGCCCCACCCAAGCCGCGGCCCCCAGCACTGGGTTCTCCTCCCTCAGGGCCCAGCTTCCTGGGAGCCAGGACCTACCCCGACTCCTTCCCGCCCTCCACGCCCAGCACCCCGACCCTTCCTGAGTTCACACCGGGGCCACCCCCCATCTCCTACCAGTCCGACGTCCCCAGCAGCCTCCTGACACCAGAGAAGTCTGCCCCCTGCCTCCCAGGCCAGGTCAGTGCTGGGCCGAGGGGCCGAGGGGCCGTCCCCCAGGGAGCCCCGGGGCCCCTGTACCACGTCCTTCTCTCCTTCCTCAGATGGCACCAGCCGGTCACCTGGACCCAGCCCACAACCCTGGGCCACCGGGGCTGCACACCCCCAACCTCGGAGGCCCCCCAGGGCCCCAACTGCACCACCCGACCCCTGCCACAGCATCCCGGCAGCCCCTGGGCCCAGTGAGCTCGGGCCCTGTCAGCGAGCTGGCCTTCAGCGCTGCCGCAGGCGTGATGGGGCCCCCGATGTCTGGGGCAGGGGAGGCCCCAGAACCAGCCCTGGACGTGAGTACCAGGCCCACTGCGGGGGGCACGTGGGAGCCTGACTGGGGCTGCTTTTGTCGTCCCTGGGTCCAAAAAATGGAGGACACTGACGCCTCAGTGACTTCCAGATAAAGAGAGAGCTCTGGGGACCTGGCGCCATGGTGGCATGGTCCCCGCGAAGACTGGGCTCACAGCTGATGACACCAGCCTTGGGGTCTGATTTCACCTGTTCCGCTCACAGGTGGTGTGTGAGTCCAAGTCAGTGAGTCAACGGCAAGTGACTGCTCCTCAACCATAATAAACAAAACACATTGAAATTCAACATGAAAACACCTAGAGCAGCTCAAAGCAGAAAGTTCTAGTGAAAGGGGCCCCACCTCTTGCATCGCCTTGTTAACACTGGGATCCCCTCACAGTCCCACGTGCCCCCGGGCACCAGGAGAAGCTCGACGACCTGAGGCAGGCACTGCGTGGCCCACATTGGCACTGGCCAACCTGTCAGGCCTGGTCTCAGGTGCCAGGCCTGTGTCCAAAGTGGGTGCTCCACATCCTGGCACACCCCAGGACCTGGCTGGGCTGAGGGCCAGGGCCACCACAGAGGTGAGGTGGGTCTGAGGAGTTTGCTTTATCTTCAGCTGCTGCCGGAACTGACCAACCCCGATGAGCTGCTGTCCTACCTGGGCCCACCTGACCTGCCCGCGAACAGCAGCGAGGACCTGCTCTCTCTCTTCGAGAACAACTGACCCTGTCGGCCCCGCACCCCACGCCAGCCTCCCCACCCCCACTCCCGCCCTTCCCCCTGGCACACCTGCAGCCGCCTGTCCCTGAAGCTGGAAGCAGCCCCGCGCTGGCTGGGAGGGGACTGGCCGCCGCCCTGCCCTGGGCCAGCTGGCTGCTGCAGGTCTTCGGAGATGCGATGCGTCAACTATGCCGGCCACGCCCCTGCCCGGATGTGCCTCCCACTCCCGCCCTTGACCTCACAGGCTCCCTACGGGCCCCTTGTTCTTGTCCTGCCTATCCAAGCCCGGTCTACCCGGCGCGCCCCAGCGTGTCCACAAGCTCCTGGGGCCTCCGCAGTTCCCTCTCCCACCCCCGGGCTGCGGGCGGGGCCTGAGGTGCAGCGGTGCCGTGGGCGGTGGTCTGTGGGCGCCCCCTCCCGGGTCGCGTGCACCTCCACTGAGCGCCCCCCACCCGGGTCCCCTTCCTGTGAACGTGCAGTCAGCCCCACCATATTTTTAAAGCCGCCTTCCGTGTCCCGCTCCTCCCTGTGCCCCCCCTCCCCCGACACGGTCGGGGGCCGCCCCACCTGCCCATCTCCATTAAAGGACTCCCCGGTGGCCCGACCCACGGGTCCTGCTTGCTCGCCGCCCCGCCCTCGCTGGAATTTGCCTGTCCCTGGAATTTTCCAAGTTGGCTTAGGCCAGAGAGCTGTTCTGTGAAGTGTTGCCTGCACCAAGGGACACCTCTGTCGCTATGTCCCCTTGCCTGGCCCTAGGCAGCAGCCTGCAGGAAGGCCAGTGCAGGCCGCTGGGCCGGTGCCAGCTGCTCCCACCTTCCTGTCACCAGGGTGGGAGGTGCCCTGTCCAGTGAGCTCTGTGTTGCCTGTTGACACTGCAGCCCCAGACATGGACCTGCTGCCCCTGTGCTGCCCGTGTTTGCAGTTTCTCTGGTCGAGGGACTCGGACTGATCATGCGCAGTGCGGCGGGGGCCCAGGCGCCGGGGCTGCCTGGGGTTGGCCCAGAAGCAGAGCCCACATGTGAGCAGGGCAGCCATGCGGGGCCCTCGCGGCATCCTGCACCCCCAGCCCGTGTCATTGGAGGACCCCTGGTGGGAATGGAGGGATCAGATGAGCACAAGATGGGGAGCTGCTCACAGCCCTCGGCGGGAGGACAGGTAGAGGACGAGGTGATGACTGCCGTGGCCTCAGGCAGTGGAGGGGTCACTGCGCACTCAGACCACGTGTGTGTAAGACCAGTACAGGGACGCCGTCCTGGGGCCCACATGAGGGGGACAGCTTGGGCTTACCTGTGTTTGTGTGTCACAATCTGCAGCCACCATGCTTCCCCATGGGGTCGAGGTGGGTGACTTGGGAAGAGAAGGTGTTGGTGACTTTCCAATCCCTAGGGGAGTGGTGGCTTCATGGGTTTTCACCTTAGTGCGGGTCATATGTGTTCTCGTGTGTGTACCAAATATTATGCAAGTAAAAAAAAAAATCTCATGCTCCACCCAACAGCAGCAGGCACATTCTTAAGTGCACGTGGGTCGGTCTCCAGGAGAATGTGTTGGGCTACAAAACAAGTCCCAGTCAGTTAAAAAGTGAAATTATGCGAAGCACCTTCCGTGACCACAGTGGAATAAAGCCAGATAGCAGTAATAGAAGGGAAAGGAAAATGCATAAATATGTGGACGTTAACACTCAGACAGCCGAAGGGCCTACGAAGAAATCACAAGCGACATCGCAAGATACTTTTGAGACATGTAACAGCATACAAAATGCACGAGATGCATGAGAGTGCCGGAGGGAGATTTATAGCCATAATGTCTACATTTGACAAAGAGGTCGCTAACTCCTAAAGAACTAGAGCGAGAAGCCAAGGGCAGAGCTGGCAGAAGCGGGGAAATGACAGTGGGAGCAGAGGTGAAGTAGGGACCGGAAAAGCAAGTCACTGAGCACGAGCTGTTGGAGAAGCAGCAACGAACAAACAGACGAGGAAAAAAGACAAATGAGTAAAACAGGAAAAGGGAAATCGCTACCCACTGACAAGTAGGGGTGAGAGAACACTGTGCTGATGACTCGATAATCTCGGTGCAATCCCTAGAGACGAATTACCCGAACTGACCCAAGAAATGGACACTGCACACTCTAATGAGAAAGGGGACCAATCTGTGCCAAAGTCCCCACCACAAAAAAAACGAGAACCAGATGGCTTGGGCAAATTCTGCCAAACTTCAGGAATTGCACCAGTGTTCCTGGCACTTCCAGGCGGGGTCGGGGACAGGGGGGCGCACATCCTGACTGCTGCTTCTGGCAGCTCCTGGCCCCCACGCCCCACTCCAAGCCTGCTCTCTGCAGGGGGAGCTTCCCTCGGCCTCTAAACTCCCCCTCCTCATCCCTTCCCCATCCACACTTGAGAGCGGCCACAGGGATGGGTCAGGATGGGCCTGTGACCCAGACAGGTCAATGAGCCAAGGTCAGGGCAATCAGAGAAGTCTCAAGACAGGATCAAGAACGTGCTTGACCAGCCTCGGGCCGTGGATGCCTTTTTTCTTTTCTCAATTTGCCTTTTGTGTTGAAGCCACTGGCCACTTGCCTGATCCATTTTTAAGCCTACACACAGCACGGCGAGTCCCAGGAGGTCATACTCCTGGGAATGGTTGTCCCACTGAGGACACCTTTCCATCACTCTTCTCCTGTCCCCGCAGCCACCACTATCCTGGCCTCCATCACCAGAGGCTAATTTCCCCTGATCTTGAACCTGACATAGTGAACCACAAGTCTGCACCCTTCGGCTAACTGGTCCTACTTAAAGCCTCTGCTTTCGTTTTCATTTAATTGTAAGTCGGTATTTATTTATTTTCGGTCATGACCCAGGAGATGAGTTGACACCCGACCCTTTGCTGGCCGGGGCTCTCCTCTGCTCAACCCCTCAGCACATCATGTCAGCCATGACTCAGGCTGCAGGTGACAATGGCCCATTCAGAACCAGCTTGAGAAGGAAAGGCCACCAGGCGCCTTGGGGACAGCTGGAGCCAGCCTGACCCTTCCTCCGTCTCTCAGAGCTTCATGATCTGGGCCAGCATCTTCTGCGGGACGGAGACCTGAGGCCAGCCTCCCTCACTGATTCACCAAAGAAAGACGCCAACTGTTCCCTCGCCATCTGGTCCCCGGATGGGCTCTGGTTGGCTTGGCCAGGGTCCCTCAAGACTAGAGCTGGGTCTGGAGAGCCTCCCAAGAGAGGAAACACTTATCAGAAGGGATGTGGGTGGCCCCTTGGGTACAGTCGACATCCCTCGCCCAGCCCAAGGCCAGCCTGGCCCGGTCGCCGGCTCCAACAGGCCACCCCACCTGTCCCAGCCCCAGCTCCTGTCCGGACAGTGCGGGGTTCTGGGCCTATCAGTTCCAGCTTTGCCTAACCTGCTTCTCTCCAGGAAGCCCTCTGCTTCCAGAATAAGTCAGGTGGCCTGCTGCAGCCACTGCTCACCTGCGAGCCGCCCTCTCCATCCCATCATAGCTAATTGATGACAGACAGTAGTGACTTCCCAACTTTTATTTTAGAAAGTTCAGCCTTTCAAAAGTTGAAGAAATAGCACAGCAAACCCCCCTGCAGCGCTGCGGTTCACGGCTGTCGCGTGCCGCCCGCCGTCCGTGTGCGTGCACTCACTCCCCCCCGCCTGGCTACAGACCCCTCCTCTGCGCGACCTTCAGTCACACCGTGGCAAACAGGGACGTTCTCCGTGCTTGCACCTCAGCACGAGAACAGTGACGCCGCGGCAGCATTCACTACGCAAATGTCCTCGCTGTCCTAAAACGCCCTTCTTAACCTTCGTCAATCCGGATTCAGTCAAGGTTCACGCTTCGTGTCTGGTTGCGGTGCTTCTGGAGTCTCTTTCAATCCAGAACAGGCCTGCTTTTTTCCCCAACGTGATTTTTTTGAGCTGTTCAGGTGAGTCGCTTCATGGAATGTCCCACATTTACCTGGACATCCCCTCCTGGGGTCATCCACTTGCTTCCTGGCGCTGTTTGTCCTGTCACTACAAAGGGGAGCTGTCACTTGAATGAGCATCCTGGCTCAAAGGAGGTCCCTAGTTTTTCACTGTTTCTCCCATGGGACCGTGGGCTCTGTGGGGGCAGGGACTGGCTTCTTCTGTGTCCTGGTTTATTTCACTGCTGACATTCCTCTAAGAGACTGACACAGGAGGGAACCCCGCCCCCACCCCCCACCCCGCGCTAGGCACCTAGCCGGGCTCGTGCACCACTGTAGGACGTCCAGCAGGTGTCCCATGAGCATTTGCTGGTTTGATAAAGTGTCCCCCATCTTCGATGACTGGTGGCAGAGTGAGACCTAGTGGCCCTGGTCATAGCCTAGTGTCCACCCTGGAGAACCCCCAGGCACAGTGCAGCAAAGACTGCCGGGCGCCTCCCACACACCTCGCACGCCCCGCCTCAGGGACAGCGACCCTGCTCTTTAGCTGGACAAATGGCCAACCCGTGAGCGGACTTTCTCTCCTGCTCTCCTGCAGGCCTGTGTGGCGCCCTCCAGTAGTGGGACATTGGGGGTCATGGGGTGGGCCTGCTGGGAGGGGGGCTGAGCCTTCTCTCCGCCTTCGCTCCTGCAGACCTGGCGACCAGGGCTGGGCCACGTGGTGGAGGGCGGTGGGCAAGCGGAAGAGGGGCCGCCCGGTGCCTGCAGGGTCGTCGCACGGGTCGACTCCTCTCACGGGCGCACCGCCCGACCGCCCGACCGAAGCCACCTGGCGCCGCAGCTTCCGGCCCCTCAGCCAACCTGCTCTTCCGGTTTCCTCCTCGGAGCCACTGGCAGCCCTTCCGGCCTCCCAGCCCCGCTCCGGCAGGAGCCCCGGAGCTGGCTGTTACCTGACAAGTGTCGCAGTCTGCCTGAACTCCTTGCGACCTGGCAGCTGGGCAGGAAATTCTACTTTTGTGTAGTAAACACACTCTCAAAGCAAAAATCAAAACCCAGTCAAACACCCAGCAACAGGACTCTCGCTGCTGGTAGGGAGGTGGATCGCGAGGACACTGCAGACAGTTTGTGGTTTGTCACAAAACCAAATATCGTCTTACCACGTGACCCAGCAGCCACGCTCCTTGGAGTTTTCCCAAAAGAACTGAAACATGTCCACACAGAACCGGCACAGGGGCGGCAACAGCCTCATTCATCACTGTCAAAACCTGGAGCGACCGAGACGTCTGGACGGGTGGGACAGCCGTGGTCCACCCAGACAGTGGAGCATCCGTCACCCACAAAGAGACGACTGTCCGGCCACGAACAGCCGCGGGGAACCTCAGATGCGCACGGCCGAGTGAGGGGAGCCCATCTGAGGGGGCTGCGCACTGTGTGCTTCCGGCCACGTGACGTTCTGGGGAAGGGACAACTGTGGACAGTGAAAAGGCGGTGGCTGTCAGGGGACTGGGAGGCGGGAGGGAGGGACAAGCGGAGCACAGGGGACTTTAGGCCAGTGAAACCACTGTGTGATACTGTCATGGTGGACACGTGACACAACGCATCTGTCCAAACCCACGGAACCCGCACCACCAGGAGTGAGCCTGACATACACCGTGGACTCTGGGTGACTATGATGTGTCAATGAGAGTCACCAATCGTGACAAGTGTACCATCTGGTGGGGGTGCCGATAATGGGGGAGGCTGTGGGGGGTAAGGATATGTGGAAACTCTCTGTACCTTCCCCTCATTTTACTGTGAATTTAAAACTACTCTAAAAAAATCAATCTATTAAAAGTCTATTAAGAGTTAGCATCTTACGTGTTATTTGTAAATACCCGATACAATTCTTAAGTATTGCTATTAACATAAAAGCCAACAAAACTGCCTACACAAGTGGGAAGCTTTTGAACAAGGGACCCCATATTTTATTTTGTTCTGGGCCCTGTGCGTGACGCAGCTATTTCTGAATCACTGTCTTTACCAGTATCCGAGAAAGAGGCCAAGATGGTCACCCAGGGCTTAGGGAACTGGGCTTCGTGGGAAATGTTGGCCTCCCCTCGATGGTGGGACCCACACTCACAGCAGGTTATGGAGCCGGACGTGAGGTCCAGCCAACGACTCCACCCAGACTTGCAAAAACAGCAGGATACTAGCAACAGAGATGCAAAGCAACCCCCAGAACGGGAGAACATGTTTGCACATCACATATCCAATAAGGGACGAACACCCATAATATGTAAAGAATTCCTAAAACTCAACAACAAAATCTAAACAACTCAACTTTAAAAATGGGTAAAAGACTTAAACGTTTCTCCAGAGATTTACAAATGACCAAAAGCACACGAAAAGATATTTAGCGTCATTAATCATTCGGGGAATGCTAGTCAAAACCACAGTGAGATAAAAACAAACAAGCAGAAACAACCCGTGCTGGCGACGATGCGAGAAACTGCAACCGTTGGGCACAGGTGCTGAGAACGTAAAATGGTGCGGCCGCCGTGGAAGACGGTATGGTGGGTCCTCGGAAGATTACACATGGAATTACTGTTGACCCAGCAATTCCCCTTCTGGGTGTGCGTGAAGGGGGTCGAGCACGGCCTTGAACGGGTATGTGCGCCCCCACTTCACAGCAGCATGGTTCACAGTCGCCAAGAGGCGGGAGCGACCCCAGTGCCCATGGACAGAGGACTGGATGAACTGTGGACTGAGCACGCAGTGGAGTGAAATTCTGACACCTGCCACAACGTGGATGGGCCTTGAAGACGTTAAACTGAGTGAAATAAGTCAGTCACAAAGGGACAAACACGGTGTGAGCCCACTTACAAACATATCTCCTTTACTGTGTGTCATTTCACTGCATTTTTTACAAATCGAAGGTTTGTGACCACCCCGCATGGAGGAAGTCCATCGGTGCCATTTTTCCACTTTGTGTCTCTGTCACATGTTGGTAATTCTGGCAATATTTCCAACCTTATTAATATTACATGCGTCATGGCAATCTGTGATCACTGATCTCTGATGTCACTACTGTAACTGTTTAGAGGGCCACAAAACACACCCACAGAAGACGGCCAACCTAACCGATGTCACGAGTGCTCCACTGGCTGGCCGTTGCCACCCACCTCTCCTTTTCCTCGGGCCTCCCTGTTCCCTGAGACACAACTATATTGAAATTAAGCCAGTTAATAACCCTACAATGGCCTCACATGAAAGGAAGAGTCACACGTCTCTCACTTTAACCCAAAAGCTGGGCCTGAGAGAGCTGAGTGGGGAAGGCGGTTCAAAGGCCGAGACAGGCTGAAGGCTGGGGCTCCTGTGCCAGACAATTAGCCAAGCTGCACTGGGAAATCCAAATGCTCCTGTGACTCACTTTCTTGTGACGCTCACTTTATTGCGGTGGTCTGGACCTGAATCGGCGACGTCTCCACGTGTGCCCACTTGAGGTCCCAGAGGAGTCAGAGTCATAGGGATGGAGGAGTCAGTCAGTGGGGGCCGGGGCTGGGAGAGTTGTTATTTAACAGAGACGGAGGTTCAGTCTGCAGAGAAGAGAAAGTTCTGCAAATGGATGGTGGTGACGGCTGCACGACAGTGTGACTGTGCTTAATGACATTGAATGGGACACTCCATACTGAAAATGGTAAACTTTATGTTATATATATTTTACTACGATTTTTAAAACATTCAGGACAAGTAGACAGGACCCAGAACCAGGCAAGATGGGCACCTCTGGCTCCACCTGCAGCAGCTGTGTGACCTTGAGGAAGTTACTGAACCTTTCTGAGTGATGTCATGTCCTCTTGTGGAAAACAGGGATAATAAGAGTGTCTGCATCAAAGGACTGTTGTGAGTTGAACAGTGACCTTGACAATGGCACCTAGTGCTGTCTAGGATTCTGAAGTGGCCTGGGCCTCATTCCCTTCTTTGGCTCCTGTGGCCTTCCTGTGTTGGGGGAATTCCCCACCTTATGAGTCTGGGTGGGCGACGAAGCCCACAGCGTCAGACTCCACCTTTCCCAGCCCCGCCCATGTCCCCATTGCAGCGGCCTTTGGATCCACCTGCTGAGGTTGGGGCCGAGCTGTCCCAGACTGGCCCCCAGGTGTGAGTCCTGCCCCTGAAGCTGCCCTAGGGCCTGATCACCTGCTCCATTCCCAACTGTCCCTTTCTGCTGGGTCGCCAGGTCGGTGTGTCTTGCCCCAAAGCATGCCTCTTGCCTTCCTCTGCACTGACAGAGCCCGACGCTGGGTGGCGCGGGGCCCAGATCAAACATCTATCTTCCCGGATCCTGTGGCCTGGGGTGGAAGCCGGAGCGGGGCTCTTGCGAAAGCTGTGGGAGCAGGGACTATGCCGTCGTCACACTGCTCCCTCTGCCCTCTTACTTCTCTCTCTCGTCCCTAGTCCTTCCAGAGCCAGAGGAACCTGAACATGAACTTGAGAGAGTGAGGAGAGAGCAAGTGGCAGCACATCAGGAACTGACCAGCCTGAGGACGGAAGGTTAAAGTCCACAGGGCCATGTGTGGCTTTTCTATGTAGAGACTGCTCAGGAGTTATTTTGTTATATTTTAACAGCCTCTATTTAATGTATTAATGCTGCCATTTTAACACCTAGTTCTTTAGCTTAGACATTGTATCAGTCTCGCTACCAGGATAGCAGATTTGAACTCTCTCAACACATCTTCAAAGGTTTAAACTGCTGTTTATAAATGCGATACATTTGGTTTCCATTTAAAGTACACTTAATTGTCTAAATTAACAAAGAGAACCTCCCTGAGCATTGAATAATTCTGATAAACTTTTTGATACAGTGAACCTAAAGTTCTCCTAAATATTAAAATATAAACTTTGTAATATTTCAATTGGAAGCCACAAGTCTAAATCGATGTTTAACTACACAATTTTAAAAGTAGTGATTGGGCAGGAACAGGGAGTTACTAAGAATGAGCATGAGGTTCTCTTCGGGGTGAGGGGAAGTTCCAAAGTCTCCTTGTGGTGATATTTGAGTTTACTGAGAATCACACTTAAAACCACTGAATTTCGCGATATGGAAACAATATCTCAATAAACCTCTTAAAAGAAAAAACGCATACAGAAATCAAAGACGGGAAAAGCTGCTGTGCGTTTCAATATCTGACCAAGCAGCAGTGGCCCGAGCGCCTGGCTGCGGACAGGAGCCTTTGGCCGCCTCTGCGCCTGCGCGGAGTCCGGCTCTGGCCCGGGGCTGGGTCTGCAGTCCCTGCCCTGTCACCGTGCCCTCCCTGGTGAAGCACACCCGGCCTGTCCGACTTCTGACTCGGCTCAGGAGACCCTCCCTCTGAGCGGCTTTGAGCTGTTCTCTGCCCTGCATTTTTCCTGTGTAAAGCGATCCCCATCTGAGCCACCGCTGTGGGGGTTCCCCTACGAGCTGCGCTGGTGACTGCAGCTTAGAGCCCAGAACCGCGTTGCCAATGGGGTCAAATGCCAGGGGCCAAAACAAAACAAACAAAAATGCCCAGGGCCATGCATCAGAGGTCCCTGGGGCTTGGGGGTGAGGGCGAAGTCTGCGGTGGAGAGTGCGCAGCCCGGACAGGCGGCGCGGAAGCTTCTCAAGAGCCAGTCAGGGGCGAAGGGCGGGTGGCCGCGGGGGGCTGGTGGGTGGGGAGCCCCGGAGGCCAGAGGAGCAGAGGGGGAAGAGGTGCTGAAGTGAGGGGGCGAAAGAACACTGGGGCCAGGTCTCTAGCTAGGGGCCCTGACAGCGGGGATGAGAGCTGACAATCAGGGAATGAAGCCGGGGTGCGAGCCGGCGGGACGCAGCACGTGGGGGGCGGCAGTGACGCTGCCTCATCACCCCGACGTTTTCCTGGGCTGACTGTCAAGACACAGGGGGGCCTGCTGAGCCAGGGAGCCCCACGGGCTGGGCAGTGTGTGCGAATTTCAACCCCGGGGGAGACAGGCTCCGGGGCCACATTTTGGGGTCACTGGCCTGGTTTCTGCCTTCACTCCACACACTACTACTGCGTTTGATGCTGCACCCCTGACTCCGGGAGCACTAAGGCAGGCCTCGCTCCGGGTCGCGGGGTGAGCGTTGCTCTTGGAGCAGGGGGCGCTACACAGGAGAGAAGCAGCTGGAAACACAGGGCAGGATGCAGCGAGGAGGAACTCACTGCGGTAGGAGAACCGTCCCACTGAGACTGGAGAGCAA